AATGGATCCGCAAGTCTCACGTCTCGTCAGCCCCGTAACAGAATGGACATTTTCATGAGTCTAGTCAAGTCACAGCTGATAGTTATGAGTCTAGTCAAGTCACAGTTGATCATCATGAGTCTAGTCAATTCACGGCTGATAGTTATGAGTCTAGTCAAGTCACAGTTGATCGCCATGAGTTAAGTCAAGTTACAATTCATAATCATGAGTCAAGTCTAGTCACAGTTGATCGTCATGAGTCAAATCGAGTTACAGTTTATTTTCATGAGTCTGGTCCAGTCACAGCTGATATTCATAAGTCTAGTCAAATCACTGCTGATCTTCATGAGTCAAGTCAAGTCACAGTTGATCTTCCTGAGTCGAGTCTAGTCACAGTTGATCGTCCTGAGTCAAATCGATTCACAGTTTATTCTCATGAGTCTGGTCAAGTCACAGCTGACATTCATGAGTCTAGTCAAGTCACAACTGATCGTAATGAGTCAAGTCAAGTTACAGTTCATCTTCAGGAGTCAAGTCGCAGCTGATCTGCCAGAGCCTCATCACGTCTCAGCTGTTCGTCCAGGGTCACGTCCCATCACAGCTGACCTTCTAGAGTCTCCCCACGTCTCAGCTATTCATCCAGATTCACGTCGCATCACAGCTGTTCATCCAGAGCCTCGTCACGTCTCAGGTGTTCGTCCAGAGTCACGTCACGTCACAGCTGACCTTCTAGAGTCTCGACACGTCTCCGCTATTCATCCAGAGTCACGTCACGTCTCCGTTAGTCATCCAGATTCATGTCGCATCTCAGCTGTTCGTCCAGAGTCACGTCCCGTCACAGCTGACCTTCTAGTGTCTCGCCATGTCTCAGCTATTCATCCAGATTCAGGTCGCATCACAGCTGTTCATCCAGAGCCTCGTCACGTCTCAGCTGTTCATCCAGAGCCTTGTCACGTTTCAGCTGTTCGTCCAGATTCACGTCGCATCACAGCTGATCATCCAGAGTCATGTCACGTCCTGTCTGTTGCTCCCAGATTGTTGGGGTCGGTCCGTCGGTATCCCAGTCTGGTGTCCAGTGTGAAGGATGCACCGCTGGTGTCTGCACGCGCAGCTGGTATCCCCAAACCCACTCACTTTAGCCCTCCTGTTCCTGAACTCATCCCCCTGTCTGCAGCACTTCCCATATGGGGGGTTGCTTTATGGTGTATCTGGGCCGCGTACTCCACCGCCGATTTGCTAGAGGCAGCGGCACCGGCTACAACATCTCCAGAGGTGGCGGCTTACGCTGCAGAACCTCCCGAGGTAGCGGTGTCCACTGAAGTCTCTTCAGAGGTGGCGGCGCAGGCTGCAGAACCTCCCGAGATGGCGACACTTGTCTCAGTTCCTTGCGTGGTGGTGGTGGCGCCCAGCAACGAACTTCCTGCCTGTTCTGTTCCGGCCAAGGAGGCCGTCTATGAACTTCCTGCCTGTCCTGCTCCGGCCAAGGAGGCCGTCTCTGAACTTCCTGCCTGTCCCGTTCCGGCCAAGGAGGCCGTCTCTGAACTTCCTGCCAGTCCTGTTCCGGCCAAGGAGGCCGTCTCTGAACTTCCTGCCTGTCCTGTTCCGGCCAAGGAGGCCGCCTATGAACTCTCTGC